CGTATATTTTTTGCAATACTCCAAAAAAGTTCACAATTTCGGTTGCAACCTTAACAGATTCTTCACCAACTAGTTTAAAGGAATGCGCAGCACATGGCACATAATCCGCGGATTTATTTTGTTGTTTTAGTAGTGCTTGTACACCATTGTAGTGACCCGCCATATTAGCAACGTTGTCATGAGATTGTCCCCTACAATTATCCAGTACTAGTACATTTGTTTCTAAAAAGTCTTGTAGAATATTAAATAAATGTAAGCCAGTATGACTACTAATTTTAATGAAGGATACACATCTTTCATAAATTTCCCCCCGAAAACAGTATCAGAATACGATTTGATCATTGTGAGATAGATCTGGAATAGAATCCGTCACAATTGAATAATACTTTGCGTCGTCGTTATTTATTTGAGTTATAATTTGTTTAATTATCTGTCAGCCCGTAATCTCAATTATTTCCTCATATACTGTTTTTGATAAGTACGATATTACGATCTTTGTTGCAACTCTCGTTGTTCAATGTGTTCACGAATGAATGGATCGAACTCTGCCAATAGCTCTAGAGCACCTATAAAATTACCACTATGTGGAGAACCAAATACTTCCTCGAAACCTCTAAATGCTAAGCCCCTTATACCTAAATATTTGACCACTGCAATAACCCGTTTTAGGACATTGTGACTTAATATTCTGTTTCCTTTCTTAATTTCTTCTGAAGCTGCGTGTCTAAAACAGATCTATTTTCTTTTCGTGTCAACCACACTAACATTGATTTCTTATGTTCATTAGAATTTTCATGATTTTCTAAACAAGTTCCTATGTGTTTCCAATCAGAAAATCCGGTTGTGTATTGAGAAGTGATTTTAGAAAAAGTTTGCAAGTCAAACAAAAAACAGTACCAGCCCTGGTTGAATAACATAACCAAGATATTTCCAGTGATTGACCATTTTTCATATTCTTAATGAAATACCTATTTGAAAATATTCTGTTTTGTTCTTTGTGTTTTTTTATTGAAGCTGAATATATATTTTTCGGATCTTTATTTTGAAAATCAGTCATTTCATGTGAGAGGATGGTCTGTTCTTCAAATAGACTTCGGATAAGACCTCTTCCTTTTCACTTGTTAATAAATTTGTAGCTATTTCATTCTCGATTTTATGTTCTAATTTGAAAAAAGTTTCAATTTTTGCACATTTCTTTCTTTCTTTTTCTCGATCTAGCTGTAATTTCCGTTTCTCAGCTCCACTTTTATATTTTCTTCCAATATATTGTAAAATAAGACTTTGATATTTTTTCTGAAAATAAACAATCAGCTTGATAATTTTCTGGTAATAAACAGGGAGCGAAATAATCGATGTAATATTGTTCTTCGCTTCACATTTTAATATTTTGTAATGAGTTGAGCAATTCACAAATTATCATTAAAAATCGATTAAAAAGTTCATTTAGTGTTGAAAAAATACATTAAAAACAAAAAAATACATGATTTATAATTCTTTTTACTTACCAACTAAGAGCAGGAAATCTTTTTTTATACTGATTATGTACTTTCAATTATAAGTAAAATGAGAGAAAGGTACGGTCTTTACAACTTTTAAGTTATCATTTATTAGTAAACTAAACAAGTTTGTCACTTTGACGACGAGAACAGAAGTGCGGAGAAAAAACAAAATTAAGGCGGGCGTTAAGCGGCGTGGCGGGAAGTGCCCCGTACTAGATGCGAAAAAATACACTGATCAAAAACAAGCAACGGAGAATTCCCCGTTCCGTTCGATAGACGCGCACATGTATGGGGTGATTGATCTCAGGATTGCCAACTTATAATAGTTTTTTTTTAACATTAGATATTTTTTTGAATTCAAAATATCACCTATTGTTTTCAGTGGGGACTGGGGCCCTTTGTAACCACGGGGCCCTGGGCTGCAGCCCAAAATGCCCTTAAGTAGATCCGCCCCTGAATTTTATTGTTAATTAATCTAACGCTTCTTATTAAACTGTCAATCGTGATCTGTTGCGCCAACTATAAATGCCAAGGCGCCAAATGGTTATATTAAATTTGCGTGCTGGCTGCAAATAGGTCCCCTTATGTGATTTTTTTGGGATTATTCTGAATGATTCTTACGCGAAATAATGAATCAGAATGAACTGATAACGATACGGAAAGCTTCCCGTCAATTCGTCATTTTCGGCTTCGTGATCAAAAGAAGTCTCGGTATTATTTTCCCTATTATTCACTTTTAAATTAGCTAATACTAATTGTGCTTCAGTTTGACTATACTGATCAGGTTTTTGAGCTTTCCTCTCAGCCAAAATACTATATCTTTCACGAATTAATTATCTTTTTTAGACATCTCACTCTTCTTAATCAAAAGCTTTAACTCTATATTTCCGTTTCTAATGAATCGATCTCCCCACCTACAACTATTAATTCCTCTTTTTTTTTTCTTTGATTTCGCTATTCCCGACAATTTCAAAAACGAAAATACACCGCTTATTTTATCTAACAATATATTAACACATACACAATTAGACTGACTAAAACCAAAAGCAACCTCTACTCAAGAAATTAATACTTAAAGTAATTAGTACTCAAAGTTTCAATGCTAAAAAGGGCTTTGTGTTAGGACCAAAAGGAAAACTCGCATTATTATTAATTCTTTATAGCACAAATTAGTTACACTCCAAGAGATTGCATAGTTCTCGAGCTAGTTTAAGGACCAATCTTTTAGCCCATCGATAGCTTTACTCGTTTACTCATGCAATTAATTGTTCACAACGCCAACTACAATCACCAAAGCGCCGAATAGATTTTAAACTTGTAAGTTTTATTTAAAAAACAATTTAAAGTTTGCCCTGAGGTGGCTACGAGTTATAACCTTTCAAGGTAATCCTCCTCTGTGTATTTTTTTTTTAAAGTTTCTCGCCGACCGCTGCCTAGAAGTTGCCATGAGATTATTCTGCCGCAGATCCACTATACGGAAATCTTAAAACTGCGAAAACATTAAAACTGGAAAAATACCAAAAACTGGGCCTCGATAGCTCAGAAAATAGAGCGTTCGCCTCATAATTAGGTGACCTAGGTTCGAATCACAAGCGGTGGCTAGTTGATACTAATTCTGCTCCCGGCTCACACCGACCACAGTGCTGACTTAAAATATCCTCAGTGACTGATGGATCATGAGTTAGAATCTCCTTACCATCTTGCTAACCGTGGGAGATTTCCGTGGTTTACCTCTCCATATAACGCAACAGCATGTTAGTTCTATCAAAAAATCTCCATGAAGGAAGTTTGTCCTCATGTTTAAAATAAGAGTCCCTTTGTTTTCTTTGTTGGATTTAAAATTACAAATCTACCGAGTTGAACACTGAACTCAGAATTGGGTCTGCTGTTCAAGGTTGGGTCTGCTGTATTAAGAGGACTCTATAAACGTAGGAAACAGAGTTTCTGTTTATCATACAGCAGTATACACTGCGGCCAGTTGAAAGTATAATGACGAACTTCCTCACTACACTCTAGTTATAAAAACTAGATGACATTGGCGCAGAACAAAGCGAAACATTGGAATATCTGTACCCATTATATGAGTTTGCAACTGAAAATACTTGACTTAAAATTAAATTTTAAAAAAATACGAAGTGCGCAAAACTTTTCTGAAAATATTTGTTTCTTTTAAAATGTACGCGTGAGTAAATTTTGAATGATTTATTAAATTACCAACAAAATTGAATATAAGGAGCAATGAATTAAAGAAACAGAATTTTTTTTAAAAATTTAAAAAGAATAAAATTAAATTCATTAAAACTAATTTTATTTTCTTAATAATAAGAAAGAAATGAAAAAGGGAGGGAGAATTAAAAATTTTGTTCTTTGCAAAACATTTCATTTATAAATTCAGTCACAAACAGTTTTGAGAAGAAAGCTCACGCCCCGCAGTGGATTGATCGTAAAAACTCGGTTGCCAGTAGAACACCGAAGTCAAGCATCACTGGCTGGGGTCAGTAAGCGGGAGGGTAACCACTTTGATCAGCCGCCTACGTGGGGAACGAAGGTGTACGGTATTGGTCCTCGTTAAACTGTTCGACCGTAAAGTGCTCACTTCGCTATCAGGTCGTGTTGCTACCAAAGCGGAGGAGCCTTTCAGAGGATCAAAATTGCGATGGCATGTCTTCGGATCATCCTCAGGGATATTTCCTAGACCGTCGCCAATAACCCATTGTGCAGCTCTAGTGCGATGTAAATAAAGTACCTTTAGTTTGAGTTTAATTTATGCATGTAGTAAAATGAGATGGGAGTGTGTACTTGTTACCCTCCAGATTTGACAGCAAACTGTAGCAATAACAACTTTGAGGAAAAGATGCATGTTATCATCTCAGAATGCAAAACAGTGAGAAAAGTTCAATTAGTTTCTTATCCAAAGAATTTGTGATGTTTTTGCACATTATTCAATATGAGCTGCTTAAAAGCATTTTTTTTAATCATGAGGTGTAGTGTACAGAGCGCAAAACATCCTGAACACCAAATGCTAGGATTAAATCTTAATGGTTTGTTGGACAATTCTATCAGGGCTTCCTTTGAAGAGACTCGTGCCACTATTTGATTTCAGTCAGTGATATCACGGCTGCTCAACTTCTCGCTTTAAAAATAATTTGTTTCACATGTAACTCTCAATTTAAAAAAAAAAATTGTTTCAATACATTCATTGTTTTCCATAATTTTTTTATTTTGAGGTGATTTTCTTCTCTCCTGATTGCAAAATTTTAACAGTAGTAGTCAAATATAAGCTTTCGTGACCAACAAGAGTTATTATAAAACATAAAATGTGAAAACGTAATTTTCCATGTTTTACTTCAGAAAATAGAACATCATAAGTAATGTTTTTCGTTTAGAAGTTTAAGAACTTTTAACAAGTTTAAACAGAAACTTTAAACGTAATGATACAACTATTGATATGACTTTAGTATGTATCATGTTAATTACAGTTAAAATCTATTACACATATTAAAGTCAATTTAAGATTTTAATGATTAAAATTCTCTTGATTACAAATTGATTCCATTACACTAAGTAACCCAATAAGGGGGGGAGAAGCTAAGATTATTCACCAGGGCGTCATGTCTTTTCGATTCAACCTTCGTACCACATGACAACGCTTCAACTGACTCCTAAATGGATGCAACCCCTACAGTAAGAAGGAACTTCGCCAAACTCACCCTTTGGCTCACTTTATCGATGTTTTTGGCGCACTTACTATTTTGGGACTCCTTGCTCTGCATCATCCCTCCCCCGCCACAGACGAGGGATTACCGAGAAATTCATTGACGCACCTGGTGAGGAACCTAGTTCTCTAAAAGTGAAAAATTTTAATTAGTGTCCAAGGTAAAGTCCATGAGTTCAAGAAGTTACAATCCTTGAAAACATCTTCTGGCACTGGAAACAATGTCGAGTTGGATCTCGCAGGCTAATGTCCAAGCTTTTGCTTCGTCTCTCGTAGTCAGATGTAGGCTGCTGAATACTTTCGGAGGAAGTGGTGAAGCATGTATACTGTGTGGAACAGGTATTTGAGATGCAGCTGTTTTTAGCAGCGAAGGTGATGGTGGTGGAATCTTTCTAAATAATAAAACTGTAGGAGCATGGAAAATCCGGATAAAGGATAGGTGGAGGGACCATGTGAGTGGGAACAGGCATTGTAGCACCAACAGTACGTAGAGCCTCAGCAAACAGTTCATGAGGAAGATCAGCAAACACTCGATGAGACGATCAGCAAACAGTCGATGAGGACGTTCAGGAAACATTTTATGAGGACAATCAACAACAGTTAATGAAGACTATTAGCAAACAGTTCATGAAGATGATCAACAAACATTCGATGCGGACGGTCAACAAACCTCCTGTTGCAGTAGCTTTGAAGACAAGACTTCACCTCAATTGTGCTAGCAGGCAGTCCTAATTGTCGCTCTATTTCTTTTCCGACATCACTAATCTTTAAATACAAATTTAAGTAACACCAATAGCTTTGTATGTAAAAAATATCAGTTAGTTCAATTTGACCAATAAATGGCCAGGGACCAAAGGCCCTCGGTGAGCATTCTAGTTTTCCCACATAATTTAAATAATTATATATAACTTTATTATTTGAACTAATTTGAAATGAATTCAAACACTTCATCAGGGTGTTAGAACCAATTTACAAATTAACCTTAAGTCAGAAATAAATTGTTTCATTACAACTTTTCCAGGTGATCAGACTGAAAAAATTAAAATAAACTCAACCTATCTCTTAAAAAAAAATATTTTTTCATGTTAGTAATAAATTTATTTTAATGGACTAAAAAAAAGAGTATTTTACAAGCATTTATGAACATTAAAATATTTTATTTAGAATTTATTTATCATTTGTATTTAATTGTTACTGTGACGTAAATTATATTTACTAACCAGTTCATTTGTCTCTTTGAAATTTGCCTGCAGGTCTGCAATGTTTTCAGGAGTAAGATGCAAATAATTGTATCTTCGAATATACGGTGTCAATCTGTTTACGTGACAGTTAAAAACTTTTCGATTATTTTCGACACTTCTGACTCGATAATTCACTTTAGAAAAACGCTCTATTATGCGATATGGCCCTTCAAATTTTGATAGTAATTTATTCGACAAACCTGACTTTTTTTAAATTTGGAGCTCTTGCAAAACAGAGGGAACCTATTGGATAATTAAATTTTTCAATATTTTTCCCCACTTCACTTCTCCCAATATTTTTCTCTTCTTGAGTTTTTAAATTTTCTAAAACTTTTGAAAAAATTTCGTCTAGGGACCGAATTAATTTAGTTAAATATTCTGATTGGGATTGAAATTTTTCACCCTCACCTAAACTGAAGGGCAATCTCATGTCTCTAAGGTGTTCTATAAGAAATGGAGAAGCTTGTGTGATTTCGTTAATTGCCAACATAGTTTGTAAAATTTGCTTGTCCCATTCGCTATCTTCATTGCAAATTGTTGCCAAAATATTTGCAATTGATTGGTTTGGTTTTTCTATTCTACCGTTAGCCCAAGGTGCATACTTTGAAGTATGAATTTTTTCAATACCTTGGATCTTACAAAACTCTGTAAATTCATTTCCTGAAAAATATTTGGCGTTGTCAGTTACTATAATTTTAGGACAACCCCTGTGAACTATATAATTATCAAAAAATGCTCTTGAAATGGCTTCGGTTTATGTCCGGTAAAGCTGCTAAATCTATGTATTTAGAAAATGCATCAATCATTGAGAAAACATATTTGTTCCCCCATGTGGTAACTTTCAATGGTCCAAAAATATCAGCGTGGCAACGCTGTGAGGGATATGTACTTTGTTCGACCATCTGTGTCGGGGCTGATTGCATTTTAAAAACACTACGTCTGGATAAACAAGGAATACAGGAATTTACAAAATTTTTCGTATCTTTATACATTTTATCCCAAAAAAAATATCAGTTAATCTATTTTAGGTTTTAAAAAAATCTGAGATGACCTCCTATCTCTGAATGGACTGATTCTAATACTTTAGGTTTTAAAGAAGTTGGGCGGGTTTAACTACTTTTCTTGGAGATTTACTGTTCCGTTTGGACAAATGAAACGCTCCATTTTCATCTAACAAATAATTTGGATATTCAGAATTGTTATTTTCTTTTAGTTTATCAATAATTTTCTTCAATTTAGGATCTTGACTTCGTAAATTAACTAGTTCTGATTTTTCTGGAAAAACAATTGTCAAGTTATTAACATATCGTGATAAATGGTCAGCGACCACATTGAGTTTGCCTTTGATATAAATTATTTTGTAATTAAATTCCTCCAGAGCTAGTTTCCTCCTCAAAACTTTAGACAAGGGATTCTTATTGGATAAAAAATCTTCGAGAGGTTTGTGATCAGTGTAAACATTAAATTTTCTACCTATTAAGAATGTTCTAAAAAATATTAATGATGAATAGATTGCGAAAAATTCTAATACCGTAGCACTATATTTAGCTTGAGATTGGATTTAATTTCTTTGAGTAAAAATAAAGAGATTTAACCATCATTTGGATATTTTTGTTTGAGAACTGCACCGATCCCTAAAGAACTGGCATCTGTTGTTAATTGTAATTCGGCTTCCGGGTCAGGTAGGGCTAAAACAGGTGGGTTCAAAATTGCATTTTTTACATCGTCGAAAGCGTTTTGTGTTTCATCATTCCAAACAAAGAGTACATCTTTACAGAGTAAGTTAGTGAGAGGTAAAGCACGTTTTGAAAAATTCCTTATATGTCGACGATAAAATACAGTTAACCCCAAGAACGATTTAATCTGATTTTGATCTTTAGGAACTTGAAATTCACTTATTTTAACTGTTTTATCGCGATCTATCGACAACCCTTGAGGTGTTAAGACAAACCCTAAAAATTTACACATTTTTGTAAGAAATTGACATTTACGCAAATGATAAGGTATTTTGTAGGAAGGACATTTAATTGGACTGTTATGAAGTGATTGAATTTCGCGAGTATCAGTAATAGCTTCCGATAATTCTATTGTTGATCTAGCAAACGCATTTTCATGCTTTAACAAGATTTGTGCAACTCTGTGTTTTGTTTCGGAATCCAAATGTTTTAATTTAAAATCATGTTCGTTAATTGGTGGGGGTAATTCTCCGGATACGGGTAATTCTTCTGGCAAATCATCAAAATTATTAATTGAACCTATAATTGTATGCTTGTTTAACATAATAGCTTTATCTGTTTTATTATTTAAAACGACACGAGTTTTATTATCAATTACATCTAATAAATCATTGGTATCTTTAAAACAAACACCTTTTCTTCTTAATTTTTTGCTTTTATCGACTGTTATTTTAGAACAATTTTCATGCAGTATTGTTAAGTCAACGTAAACAACTGACGAAATTCCAGGTGGAATTAACAATTTTTGATTTAATCTTAATTTTATATGTTTACTGTTTTCATGAGTTATATTTGAAACATAATTTAATGGAATTCCTTCTTCCATGATTTTAATACTGTTATCTTTAATATTAATGCTTGCATCTCTGGTTTTTAAAAAATCTATCCCTAAAATTGCCTCATAATTTTTTGAAAAATCTTCATCTGTAACGTAAAAATTTTGTGCAAACGATGTATCTCCTATTTCAAGGATAAGTTTAAAGTGTCCTTTTATTTCTACCTTGCTACCATTTACTGCTTTTATTTTTATATCGGATTTTAATTCTGAAACTTGACCATTTTTATTTATTTTATCGAAAATTATTGGACTCAATAATGAAATTGTTGGTCCGCTATCTATTAAACAATTAAATTTACATTGATTTGATACTACGCTAATAACGGGTAATTTATATTGGTCTGAATCATAAGAATTTCCGGGAGATACAGCAGACCCTGATTTTAATACCCCCCTCTGGAATTTAATTCGCGATAATTTTGAGTATTAACATTTCTCCTTTTATCAGCATTATTTACAAAATTTCTTGTGTTAGCATAATTTGTTCTCCTAAATCCAACCCTTTTTCGCGATTTTGATCTGTTTCGCCTTTGATCTCTCTCTTTTTTATAACACTTTGCCTGAATGTGACCCTGAATCCCGCAGTANCCGATCCGGGGGGGGGGGTATCTTCTGCAATATGATTGTTTAACTCGGCCTCATTTGTTTTCCCCTGATTTTTCAATGTACCTATCTCGACGGATAATTTAGAAATTTGAGCCGTCAACTCGCCCATTAACTTTTCCTGAAATTTGTTAGTGATCGATACCTCCCTGTTTCTGGACGCATTCTCAAAAATTTTAAAATTATCTTCTTTCCTAATCGCACACTGAACGGCGTTTTCAAATGTTTGAGGGTTGTTTTCTAAAACCTGCCTCTGCAATTCTGGCTTAATGCCAGCACAAAATCTTGCCAATAATATGCCATTATTTGCTTCTCTAACGGCCGGATTCGCGCCATTTACCTGAGTGGACAGAATATTCTCCCCAATGGACGAAGGCGATTGCTAAAATCGAAAATGCTTTCCGAATCGTACTGAGTGCAAATCGCGAGTTCCTGCAAATATGTTGTTAATGGAACTTTTTTCCCAAAATGTGACTTAAGTAGAATAACATTATATTCATTAACTGTTGAATAACTTTCAATAAACTTCTCCGCCTCCTAACATACTTTAAGTTTTAATACCGTTTGTCGTTATCATTCCAATTATTGATGCGTCCTACTTTATCTATTTTTTTAATAAAACTATGAATTGAATCTTCCTTTCCTTTAAATTTTGGGATTAACTCTATTAAATGCATTGAAATGTTTCGTAATCCTTGTTCCGCATCCACGTCGTACTGCTCCTGTTGCCGTCTACCTGCTCTATTTCTGTTCATGATTATACAAAATTAAAAAAATTATATTTAATAAATATTTCCCTAACGTTTACAAAATACATAAAATAATTCTATTATACATAATTTGACCAGCAAGCATTTGAAACAAGAAAATGAAATCGCGCACATAAAATTTTCTGCACGTGCTTAATTCAATATAAGTTTTTTAAATAAATTAATTTAAAAAAATTTTAAAATGTCTCTAAAACAATTAATAAATAAATGAATTTTAAAAAACATTTCGTGCATGAAACTTAAAATTTAAGCTGGATGAATTAAGATTAGAAAAATAATGCGTTATGCCCTAACCAGCGTGGTAAGGTGTCTCGGCACCATTGATACAACTATTGGGTTCTAGGAAAAAAAGGTACTGAAAAAAAGGTACGGAAAAAAAGGTCCCCGTAAAAAAGGTACCTGTGTAGGGAAAATTCTGTAGGGGAAAATATTTGAAATGAGAAGATTAGATTGAAGCGCTTTTTGCTGTTCCGTGCACGNTTGGCTACTTTAAGCCTCACATTAGCAACATCTTCACAAAATATAATTTAAAATAGAAAATAACACATTTTACACTTAAAAAAATTACAAAAAAAAAAAGTAAAACATTATTGAAAAATTTAAATAGTATCTTCCCGCTTTAAAAAATAATCAAAGAAGAATAAATAAATGAAATAAAATTTAAAAAAAAAAAAGCGTAATACAACCAGCCCCTTACCCTTCTCCTTACCTCAATGATCTAATCTGAATTATTACAGATAAAAAGAATATTCATTGAAACAGCGAGAAGCATTCATGCTGCCCAGAAAGCGAGAGGGGAAATATCCCTACAGATTTTCCCTATGGAGGTACCTTTTTTACCGGGACCTTTTTTTCCAGGGACCCTTTTTTCCGTACCTTTTTTTCCAGGGATCTTTTTTACCGGGACCTTTTTTTCCGGGACCTTTTTTTCCGTCTACCCAACTATTGATATGACTTTAGTATGAATAATGTTAATTAGAGTTAAAATCTATTACACAAAGTTAATTTAAGATTTTAATGATTAAAATTCTCTTGATTACAAATTGATTCCATTACACTTAGTAACACAATAAGGGGGGAGAAGCTAAGATTACTCACCAGGGCTTCACGTCTTTTCGATTCAACCTTCGTACCACAAGGCAACGCTTCAACTGACTCCTAAATGGATGCAACCCCTACAGTAAGAGGGAACTTCGCCGCACTCACCCTTTGGCTCACTTTATCGATGTTTTGGCGCACTGACTATTTTGGGACTCCTTGCTCTGCATCAGTAACTTTAAACGGAAAATAAAATCCTAAACTTCAAAAATAAAAGTTCTTAATGATTGAAAATTCCTCCAATTTCAAAATTAATATATTTTTTTAATGAAATTATTCAAAATATTCACGTTTCTTAATTATATAGCCTTTAATTTGAATATTTATGTGTAATATTTCTCTTATTATGTGCTCAAAGATTATTTTTTTTAATTGACAATTAAGGTTTTTGTTTCTTAGGAATAATGTATAAATATACGAGAATATATTAAAATTAGATATCTCAATTAATAAACTATTGTTATCAAATAATATGTTACTATAAAAGTGTTCTTATATGCTTTCTTTTATTTAACGGCAAAAGTAAAAAACTAAAATTAGAAAACGAGAATGAAACAATGACGACAAACATTGGAAATTTTTTTAACTTTAAAATTTTACTTTTAATACTATACAAAAATGTATGAATACTTTATTTTTGAACAGCAGTGAAAAGTTCAATACATCAGTTATTATCACAAAAAGTATCGAACATTCAACTCATTAATTACAGAAAGTATAAACAGCGAAGTTTTCATATTCTTTAGTTGTGATTTTCGAGATATGTGTGCGGCGTGACGTCATGAGGTGGGGAATCATAGCTTCAGCTTTGAGTAAGGAATAAACCAGCCCTCTTTAGCCCTGTAATTTTATGCTATACTATGCTAATTAAATAGAGCAGAATATATTTTAAATTTCGATATCGTAAGCAAAAACGTGCTTTCTCTGAATAAACATACTTTTTTTTCGACGAATTTGGATTCTTGACATGAGAGATAGCCACAATCTGGAAAATATGGTAGCAGCTGTTTCATTAGGCAAGCAACCAAAATTTTGTGCTTTTACTTTTTGCGCATTCGGAACATCTCGAGAACTTTTTAAGCGAATCAAAAACTTTGTGCACGCAGTTATAAAATTCATTTATTCAAAGGAAATTCTATGCTTGCCTCACAAATTGGAAGCGAATAAATTCAAATATCGAAACTTGCGAGTCGAAACTGGAATGTGCTTTTAATAAACATCTTTCTCACTCTTTCCTCTTGCAATCAAACGGGTTTTAAATCGTTTTTCTGAATGGTGGTTTTTTTTAGATTTCGATAGCGTTTTTTTTTACTCCGTATTAGATATTAATTTAAGGACTAGGTTGTAATTGACGCTTTCGTAGTAAGGGACAGGGATTCACTCTTCATGTCCACTCAGCTTCAGATCGATTGGTACCAGCTTGTCTGGAAGGCTGCCTGTGTGAAATGCTGACCACATTTCAATAATCATGTTGTTGATCACAAAATGGTGGAACTTTAACCTACGTCACACATTGGTCCAAAGAGGACCGAAATGATTTATGCTTGCTTTTACATATTAATTTGTGATTTTTCCTTTTTATTTCTAGTTGAAATCTAAGAGCGCTTAAAAAGCATTCATTTCGAAAAAAACTGTATATGTTATATGAATAACCAGAATCTGTTAGTAAAAATGCACTCACTTTCAGCCAATATCCGTGAATTCGCGTTTTCACTAGTCATTTCACTTTCTTACGACAGAAGTTAAACAAGACAAAACGTTAACATTTTATGTTAATCATGCACTGCAATTTTCATTGAAGTAATGGCACGTAAAATTGATTTCGAGAAGTATAATAAAAAAACTGACGAATATATCAGCAAATCAATCAATGAGTATTCGAATGAATCAGCATACCTATAAATTAACAAATCTATGAAAAAGCAAATGAACGAATCATTAAATGAGTGAATCAGAATTTCAAGGAATTAATGAAAAAATCAATAGCCATGCAAATTAGTGAATGAGCGTATCAAGGAATCAGCAAATCATTAAATTAATAGGTCAAAAGCAAGCCAACTAATCAGCAGAATGAAGGAATCAGAATATCAATGAATTGGGGTTGAGTTGTGTTTCGTCAAGTGATGCATGACCTTCTGAACGGGCTTAATTAGTTTATCTAGTGCTGCCATATACCGTGAGAGATAGCAAATACTAGACTTTTCTGTATAAAGCAGCTCTGTGATGTTGCATCTATGGGAATTTCGTATTCCAATAGTCCATGGTCAGCAATTGAGTAATGTTTGACACTGTAAACTCCTTTAGTGTTGAAGAAATGGGGGAAATATTATGGTGTCAATGCTGGAATATGGATCCCCGTTCAGAAGGTCATGATATTCATATATTAGCTCTCTCGGCTGGAATATGTACCCATCTGCTAAGAGCTAAGTAGCTTCATAAGGTGTTAACCACACACTTATTACTATATTTATTTAATTTTACAACTGTCGTTGAACAGCCGACCCAATTTCTTGGGTTTACGACTGTTAATGGTCAACTCTGTAGCCTTGTAATTTTGCATCCAATCCAGAAGACAAGGGAACTCCTGGGTCAAGTATGGGGAGAAATATGCCTTCGTGGAGGACTTTGTCATGGAACTAACCCGCATTTGCGTTACATGGAGAAGAAAACCACGAAAACCTTTCACGATTAGCCTGACGGCAAGGGGACTCTAACTCATTATCCGTCTACCACTGAGGATATTTTACGTCAACACTGTGATCGGTGCAAGCCGGATGAGGACCAGTCATAGCTGGGATTCGAATCCGGCTCACCTTATTGGAAGGCGAATGTTTCATCCCCTGATCCATCAGGGCTCTAAACTTATTACTATAAGATTATCAGACACTCGCTGATGGAAAATAAAAATATGAATTCTTAATCCCTATAACATAGCTGGTTGTGGTAACGTGGATAAACAGTAGATAACCGACACAGTTAGAATACCATCTTTCATACCGTTCTTTAATTGACTAATACATGCTTTTATGAACCGTTCTTCAATTGATTACTGCGTCAGTTTTATTAATGCATTTTTAAAGTCGCCTTAAATTCAAATTCAATACGAAGTATTACTATCAAATAGACTAAAATGTATGATATTTAGGGTAATTCATAACGACCACACTTGATGTATATTTTTAGAATCAAAAATGTAAACACATTAAATAACACAAGTTGATATTTAAATGAAACATGAATCAATACTAAGAAATTGGAAACACAAAACTCTTGTTTGAGTCAAAGAGAAGTTCAAAGAACACCTCCGAGTTTAATAAGGCAATGAAACTAGCTTTGACTTTTATAATCTCACTTTACATACTGTTGATTTGGCAAATTGTTTTCGTTTCTTTCTCGTTTCATTGACACTGTGCATTTTTAACTTCATTTTTAAAAATATACATCAAGGACTGTGATTACAAAATACTCTGTATAATATAAAGAACTTATATTTATGGCGTGAGATAATAAATTGGATTTAAAGACTCTAATTTTGAAACATCGAGAAATTACTGATTTAGAACTGCTTCCAAATGTAGGTAGGTGAAAATAACCATTGAAATCTGACTTCAATTTTAATAGGCAGTTTCATAACTCTTGTCTTAATTTACTGTGAATACGAGACTTAAATCAGAAAATAAGACAAGTCCAAGATTCTCTTTTCATAAGTATACATTCTAAAAGTATACATTAAGGGTGGTCGTTGCGAATTACCCTAAATATGTTTTTGTTTTTCTATCATAAGTTTTAGTCTATTAGAAAGAGATAGTATCACTTCTTATTGAACTTGAATTTACGATGGTTTTAAAAATGCATTAATAAAAGGATAAAAAGGTACGTCAGAGGGGTAAACAATCCCCCCCCCCTCATTTCCACATGATTCTCAACAAACCTATTAATAGTTTATCGATCTAATCATAATTAAGTGTAATTTAGCAATAATATCATAATGATATAATTTTATCAAACCTAATTATCCAAATAATAACAAAAAATGAGCGATTTTATCTGAAACATATAAACTGGAAATAAGAAATATACAAAGAGCACATAAACTACCACGTGACAGAGGGAGGATCGACACCAGTGTGACAAGCTGTTGAACTGGTCGATAAAAAAATAAGTTCTTGTTTAATACCTTTGAGAAGATATCGTCAATAAATCATCGGAGAGCTTTTCTGGACACATATGGAAATATTTAAGAAAATAGACACAATTCGAAATGCGTGTTTAAGAAAATGCTGATTTAAGAAAATGGACATAACTCAAAATGCGTATTGAAGAAAATAGACACAGCTCGAAATGCGTATTTAAGAAGATGAACACAACTCATAATGCGTATTTAAAAAAATGGGCATAGTATGAGAGTCATTCAAATGAAACCTCCCTTAGGAAAATTTGCCATAGAGAAGCCCATGGTAATCTATGGCAACCTATGGCTACCATAGAAATTTGTATGGCAAGATGTCATAGGCCAATGGTAACCATAGAGACATGTATGGCATTTATATGGCACGTCACCATTCTCCTATGGCAATCATAAAAATTTGTATGGCAGTATACCATAGGCCAATGGTAACCATAAGGATTTGTATGGCACGTCACCATTGGCCTATGTCAACCATAGAAATTCGTATGGCTGTATACCATAGGCCAATGGTAACCATAAAGATTTGTATGGCAGTATACCATAGGGAAAAGCTGATCTAGATCCCCACCAACGAAACAACATCTGCTATGGAGTCCTCAAAAATATCTTCTAAAAGAAAGATATATCCATTTTTTCACCCCGAAGTTAATTAAATTCAACATGCTATCCCACAAGGCATTCCTGTTGAGCAAGGCCGGATTAACCTATAGGCACACTAGGCACGTGCCTAGGGCCTACGAAATTCAGGGGCCTACGAAAATCTTGGGAGAAAAAAATTTGTTGACGAAAATAATTTAGCTTTAAAAACAACAAGTGTATTTTGCACAAAATTATGAAGATACAAATAAAAATATAATATTTTTCGGTAATAAATTATTTTGCAGAATCTTATGATCTAATATATTACTTTTTTGCGATTTTTGGATTCAACAAAATCTTGTATTATGCTGTCGAATTCCAAACAACGCAAAATGTCGTATTCAATATAGACATAAATGCGA